GCACGTCTGTACATCTCTCCAGCACACTGTGAAAACAGGACATTTGATAATGTTTGTGCTGAAAGAGCGTGGGAGTGTTTGTTGTTTTCAAGCACTAGCCATTTGGAGACTTAAAGCTGCTTTCCAGCCTCCTGTACTGTAGGTTTTATTGTTATTTATTTTGAAATAACGTCTTTTTCTCTGCTTTGGGAAACCGGATTGTCAGCAGTCATTTCATCTGATGGCTTGTTCCTCCCAACTTTATAAGCAATTCCATTTCAGACACTTTTTTCATAACTGCTGTACTTTATCCCCATGATGCACCAAACAGGAAGCCGAAGGTTATCAGCAATGTTTCATCTTTATTTTTTTTATTTTTTTGTCTTTGTCGTTTTTTGGCACTCCCAACACTTGTATGAATCCATTTACCATGTGGTGGATTCTGGGATGTGTGTTATTTATATATGTATTTGTCCCTTTCTTTCTTTCTTTCTTTTATATGTGTCACCTTTATATGTGTGTGTGTGTGTGTGTGTGTGTGTTTACATAATTGTAGGCATTTCATTCAGTACAATGGTATATATCGAAGTGTTGCGGTATTGCAATCTGCACCATGGTACTACTACGGTACTTTTCTATAAGGCTACTCTCTTTTAATCTCTCGTTCAAAGCACAAACCACAATCGCTCCATCGAGACCAAGCTCATAGACCAGTGGTTACAAAACCAATTACCAGCAAACACTGTTCCCATGAGCCACTACAGTAAACTCTGGAGAAGAACAGAACATAAACCAGCTGGAGAAGATGCGAGTTTTGAATCCATTCATATAAACAAGAGACATTCACACAGGAGATCAATAAATCTCCGATCAAGTGCGGAGGAAATTAATTTTGAAAGTTGCTCTGTGCTGTGATTGCTATAAGACTCACTTTATTTAATAGTAACGGCAGTGCAGCCATAAACAGAAACAGATCCTCTATATTTGATTAGCATCAACTAACCACAGCAGACATGCTGTAAACATCATCACCAAAATGCAGAACGAACCGCTGACACTATGTTTTTGGTTAATATTATTCTTTATTAGATTTATGTTTGTTGAATATGATATTGTGTTGGCAGAGGGCAAGGATCTGAGGTACACAAAATGAGTATGCTTGAGGAGAGAAAGAGTGAGACAGAAAAGTGTGGGGTGAGTTGTATTCAGCAGTCACTTAGGCGGGTTTTATGGGTCTAGTACATACTATCAGTGTCTGGATGACAGTCACACCCTATCAATCTCTTCAAGACTCTCTCGCTCTTTCTCTCACTGCCTGTATGTGTGTGTGTCTGTGTATTCATGGCCAAGGGAAAGTGCAGAAGCATCTTGTTCAGACTGATGGAGCAAGTGCAACCGTTTTGTAAAGTAACACCTACTTTTTAACAACGCCCAATCAGTTCCTGATGGATAAAATGAAGACCTGAGGTCCGTTTGTCTCATTTAATGTCCTGTTTCAGATAAATGTACAATATTTCTCAATTTTAATTGATCTTCATTTTGATGAAACAATATTGATTCTTATCAATCTATGCTGTTTTCATTTGATGCATGAAAAAAAAAACCGTCACTAAGCATTATTTGTAGCGTGCTTCACCTCTAATAAATCACAGTAAGCTTTGTGCTTTGTTACTTTTGATATGAAACAAAGTTGAAATCCTCAATTTTAAATTCTCAAATTTTTCAATTCTCTCTTCAATTTTATTATGAAATTCAAATAATACATACAGTTGTGGTGCTCTTTAATGTGACATGACAGATAGCTATAGTCGCCTCAGTTTAAGCAGCACGTAAACTGATCATCTCTTCCTCTTTGCTACAAGTTACAACACAAAAAGAACATGAGTGAACATCAGAAGGAATGTTGAAAGATATACTACAACCAAAATATATCATGTCTGCAATCACTCAATCAGTGATTCAGCAGTGAAAAGAGGTCAATAAAACAGCTTGTAAACAATGTCGCGTAATATTACTTCTACCTCAGAAAAGCAGTTTAATTAATGTAATATATTAATATTATAGTAATGTTCCAACTGACAGAGTTTACTGTATAGTAGAGGTGCACCTATACTGAATTTCGCTGCCAATACCGATAGCCGATTATCCAGAATATCTGCAGAAACCGATGCCGTTACTGACAGTTTGATTTTCTTAAGGAAAAAAATCTCATTTAACCAATGCTGTAAACTAAACAGGGAACCCTCTCATTTGGTACATGACTATAATATTAAAGGTTAAAATGAACAACAGAGCTATTATATTCAACTGCTATTTGTTTACAGATATCATAATTACACAAATAAATATTGAAATGTCTGTATACAACTCAGTTGCACATAACATAGTATTCTTAAATACCCGTCTTCATGCCAGATTTATTCAAACATACGTATATAATAAGTTATTGTCACAATAATTTTGACAGCCCTAAATTCAACACGAGATTTTATTATTTTCTGCCGCTTTTTGGTTGACAGGATATAATCGCCCCCCTGGTAATGAAAAATATTGCTTTTATTGGCCGATACTGATTACTGGCTGATACATCGGTGCATCTCTGGTTTACAGCATTAATTTTTTTCCTTAAAGAAAAAATGACATAATATACATGATATAGCCGTAGCTCCACCCCTTTTCAGCACAGTGCTCGTTGTCTTCTGTCTTCCGTTTACATTTCCACAGCATGAAGGTAAGATCTTTGCGGATTAATGAATGAGCCGCTCATTTTAAAATCGTATGATCCTATTTCTTATGACACCAATGCACACTTTTGTTAACTCTACAATAAGTAAGTGAATTGCTCTTCAACAGCAATGCTATAGAGCTACTGCAAAATCGGAAGCTTAAAGATAAAATTCTAAAGATGGCTGCGCACTTCTTTCTGTCGCACATACGGTATATGTCCAAATTAATCAATGCTGAATTTAAATTGGAATTGAATCAAATTGCAAGCTCATGAATCAAAATCAAATTAAATTGTGATGTTTGTGTCATTACTAGTAAATGCGGCATTTTGTTCCCTTAGTGAAAGAGCAAAGACCCGTGGAGAGTGGTGTGGTAGTTGTCTGGCTCAAGAAAACGTTGTTTAGAATTCATCTGCTGTATCTTGCTCTTGTCTTTTTTGCTTTGTCTCTCGCTTACGTGTGTTTGGCAGGGAGAGTGACTGTGATTTATGTTGAAGCAGTCGTCCTGTTGAGGACCAGAGGCAGAAAAGAAGAAGAGAGGAATACATGTGGATGGTGGGAGATGAGTTGAAGGGGGAAGAGGGTGATGAGAGGAGAAGAGTCACAAATCTTTGTCAGGATGGAGGATTCCTGTACACCAATTATTATATTTATCTTTTATATTTTGCAATTAATATTTTTATTTAACTTTTTTTATAAATGTATTTATATGTATTGTAATGTATTAGTATTATTATTATTATTATTTTCTAAATATGTCAAATGTGGCAGTGGGTGTTCAGTAAAAATTGCAGGAAGAGTCAGTAACTGTGTGTGTGTGGATTTATAAGGAAGGGAATTGGAGCTTCTGCTGTTCCTTAGATAAGAAAATTAAAAATTGATCTCAAGAGTTCTCTCCCTCACACACACACACAGTGAGGCTGGTAATCTCAGTTCTGCTACACAATGTGTGGAATGGTAAATAACTGCTGTGTGTATGCTTGTGGTGTGTGTGTGTGTGTGTGCGTTTAGAAGGTGGATCCTCTCCCAACATGTAGATACAAAAACTGCAGAAAAGCAATTTCAACTCTCTCAGCCTCTCTGCAGCTGTGTGTGTGTGTGTGTGTGTGTGCGCGCACTGCCAATAATTGCTAATGTGGAGCAAAGACAGGCAACAGAGCATGAACGAGAGAGCGAGAGAGAAAGACTCAGAGGCTGTGGTTCAGAGCAGGGTGACACTTTGCTTGAGTTACCATTTTAAAAGCATCAGATGGAAGTCTGGATGAAGTATAGAGACAGGCTGAGAATGCTGGAGAAGATATTATATCAGTAGCCTGTGAGCATCTGTCTTGAATGTTCATATAAGGGTGTCTTATTCACAATTTTATATAGATTAAGTATATTTCTTTATATTTTAAAAGTATTGTAATTTGAGTATTTTAAAATATTATATATTATTATTCATATTATGTATTATTTATATTTTTTATTTAATTGTATAATATGTCATATTTATTTTATTTATTTATTTTTACTTTTTTAATATTCTGATTGTTTGCAATTATTTTTTGTTTACATTTATAATGGTGAGGACTGTAATCTAAATTAATTTTGATTAATATTACCACTGTTATTCAGTTTAGTAGTCTGTCATTATAGGTTTCTAATGATGGATTTATAAAACTTTTGTTTTAAGAATCTTAATTTTAACAATCTTAATTTGTTTGTTTCCCTTGAGAGAGAGAGAGAAAGTAATAGGAAATGATTTGTCTGTTTTTGATGTGTGTGTGTGTGTGTGTGTGTGTGATGTTTAGCAGGTGCGAATGTGTATGTGTGTGTGTAGTCGCTTGTGAGACATCCGTATGCTCACTTCAGTCTATTCACCCGTGAAAACAGGCTGTATGTGATGTTACATCAGCTGAGCGTAGAGTTGTACCACTTTGACGAAGCAAAGTAGAACAGGAAGCAATGAGGGAGGGGAGAGAGAGAGAGGGGGAATTAAATGGCCAGTGGGTTAATTTAGAGGCTGTGCATGTTCACTCAGGTGTGTCTTCCTTAAAGACAGAGAGGCCAGAAACACACTGTAGGCAATCAGAGCACTTGAACTGAATGGGCTTCCATTGCAAAGGGCACATTCTCACAAAGCTATTAAACAATGCCAATCAGCCTCTCATCTGACTCTTTCATCATACTGTGTGTGTGCGCGCTTCATTTCTGAAAGTGGCAGATCAATTCACTAGCTAAGTACACACAGCGGGGAAGATGGCTGTTTGGAATGATTTTTTTCACTTGGTTTTCCTTCTCTCTCTTTTGCAGCTCCGTCCATTGTTCCCATAATGCATCAGGTCAGTTCGACGATGAAAAGCATCACGTTGTCATGGCCACAGCCTGAACAGCCCAATGGAATTATTCTCGATTACGAGCTACGTTACTATGAGAAGGTAAGACATGCAGGTTTGCTGCATTGGAGGAAAACTGCTTACTGCTCTTTTGTCTGGATTCTTCCTCAAGGTTTTTCCAATGTTCTTCACATGTCGAGTTTCATTTGAACACTTTTAATGCAAGATGCAATTTTGTCAAATTGAAGAAAGTGCGAGTCAAAGGTCTACTTCATTGTAGAATTGATTCATTTCATTGAACTAGTTGAAGGTAACTTCGATTTTGGCAACTAGGAAATGTTCTGTCATTTGTTTGTCCCCAAAAATTTTTTATCAGCTATTTCAGTGAAGGGACATCTCACAGACCCCGTTGTGATGTCATCATGAGGAAGTGAGGTACAGTGGGTTGCTAGGCGACAGCATTGACGGGCGGGTGGTGGGGTTCAGTTGTTTCGCTGGCCGGTTCTTGCAGAGAGATGCTGAAACACAGACCCTCTCACACCAATTACACTTAATGATTATATGTGTGTGTGTGTGTGTCCCTGTTACACTTAATGTTGTCACATTTTCCTGGGTAAATAAATATTACATAAAAAAGAGAACAAATTTAATTATATTTTGTATTTTATTAATATTGTTTTGTATGTTATTTAATATTTTTTAAGAGTCACAAATCTTTGTCAGGATGGAGGATTCCTGCCAGCTGTGAGGACGAAACTGCTGGATTTTTGGCAGACACATGATAAACGCAAACACACATTCAACCAGCATGGAGTGATAAATATTCAGACTTTGAGAAGTATTAAATCAGACATTTACTCAGACATTTATACTAAGTTTCCATGAAGCAAAGCAATGGCTGAATGCAAGATCAACAACCAGGCAATTGTGCTGTAAGAAAGGAATGATTTTAATCCAGTCAAATTGTTCCAGATCAGGTTCTATCTTGCAAAATACAGTAAAAACTAAATGTATTTATTTATAAATACTGTAATAAATGTTCATTGTTTGTTCATGTTAGTTAACTTAAACGACACCTTATTGTAAAATGTTACCAATGATTCCAGAGCCTCCCCTTCTGCCTCACACACACACACACACACACGCTCCACAGACGCTCCACAGACATCACCCCTTTTAGAGACATCATGGCAGAGCATGATTGACACACAAAATAACGCACATATACACACTCTCGTCAGCAGTTATGCCTATATTCCCTGTCTGATGTTCCTTTGAAATGTTGCCGTCATATATATTTATATATATATATATA